CTAATGCTCCAATAATTATGGGAAATTTTTGTTTGTTTTTCCATAATTTCAGTTATTAAGCCTTGACATTTTCCAATCTTTTCCAGTTCCTTTTGAGCTACTCTAGTGTCATATGGTATTGTCACATCTATAAGTAAAACATATTTTTCTTCAACTACTGCAATGTCCTGGATGTTGTGTTCTAAATATCAGTCCATCTGAATTCAGGAATCCTATAATATTTTTACATGATCATTCTGGAACACCTTTTTGACATTATGATCATATAATACTTTGGGGGCATCAAATCCATACTTTTTACAGGTAGTCCTTGGTTAACGACCATTCATTCAGCAACAGTTCAAAGTTATGGCAGTTGATGCTGAACAAATGGTACTTATGACCAGTCCTCAAAGTTCTGGCTGTCCCATCACCCCCAGTCACATGATCACAATCCAGGTGCTTGGCAACTGGCTCACACTTATGATAGTTGCAGTGTCCCACAGTCATGTGATCACCATTTGCAATCTTCCCTGCCAGCTTTCCACAAGCAAAGTCAATGGGGAAGCCAGTAGGGAAGGTTGCAAGTCACTTCTGTAAGTCACTCCTGCTCCTGCCATTTTTTTCTCCCAAGGAGCCGGCTACAGAGTACGAGATCCCGGGGATCTCATACTCTGTATCATGTGCCTGCCTGCAGCACACCATGCCCACACACTGTAGCACATGCCTGCATGCCTGGCTGCTCTTGTGCTGAACTGCAGCAGCCACCCCACCCCCACTGGGCCATGCTCACACCATGCCAGCCATCTGCGTGCCCTCCCAAACTGCAGCAGCCACCCTCTGCCCAGCTACACTACCAGCTTGCTTGTGATCTGCCTGGGACTTGCGACTTCCTGCCATCTTCCTCATTGACTTTGCTTGTGGGAAACCGTCAAGGATGGTCACAAATGGTAATCACATGACCTCAGCTTGCTGCAACAACATAATCATGAGCTTGCACCTGAGCATCTGGATCACCATCATGGGACCACGGGAGTGCTGCGACAGCCGGAACTTCAAGGACCGGTCATAAGTCAATTTTTTCAGCTCTGCCATAACTTTGAACAGTCGCTGAATGAATGAATGTAAGCTGAGGACTACCTGTATTTGATTTGCCAGCTATGTGTGGCTTGACCTCTAGTCAATCTGGTTATGCATATGTAGTCATATAACTGATACAGAGTATAAGATATCCATCATTCCTAGGAACTTGATCACAGGACTGTCATTCAAGGGAAGGAGTGAAAATACCTGAGCTGCATCTGCCTGAGTATAAGAAAAACTGAAAAGCTTCAGTTTCTTACAAGGGTCTTAAACATAAACGTTAATTCCAAAACTTGGTAGCATGTACTTCATGTTTTGCTTTCTTATAAGCAATTCATAATGGTGTATGGTAAAATTGCATAAGCAGCTTGTTTCAATGGAAATTGAAGTTCAATTAAATTAAATTAAATCTTACTACTAGCATTATTTGTTATGTATTTAACAATTATTTCTGTTCAGGATCATCATGATGCCGACTATATTAAAGTAAGCATTTAAGAAATAAGTAGCCTATCCCAGGGAAACTAGAATAATAGCATCAAACATTCCACATAGGAATGTTTCACTCTTCTAGGGTATTAACTGTCCCACCCAATTTTGTATCTTATCCAGTGCAAATTAGATAAGTGGTTTGGCTTTGTCTTTATCCAATTTACTAATAAAAATATTGAAGAATAGAGGGACCAGGGCTGAATGTTGTGGCAGCCCACTTGATACTTCTCTCCAATCTGGTGAGGAGCCATTGATGAACACACTTTCAATATGATTTTCAAGTCAGCTACATATTCATTTAACTGTCATCCCATCAAGCCCACAGGCGACCTAGGGTACTTTACTTTCAGCAAACGTCCTAGGGTACTTTGCTGAAATTACAGCAGATTCCAATTACCCAGACAGTGGGCTCCCCTGACCCACCATGTTCAGAGAAAGGCTATAAAGCCATCTGTCAGGAATGCTTTAATTTGAATTCCTTGCAAACGAGGGATTAGGCTTGATAAGCCAAATTACCCCTTCCAACTCTGTGATTCTACGAACACTCAGTGTGTCATTCAGCTCCTGGAAGGTCATCTACTCAGTCTGTGATCATCTTATTCTGATGTTTGATTTCCAGCTTCAAATGTTTCTTGGCATTATTCTGAGTCCTAGCATGCTACGTTTCAGAGATGTTTCACCGTAATCTACTATCATGTTGGTCTTCATGGGGCTTAAAAAAAAAAAAGTTCTGCCTCATAAGTTACCCCAAAATGGTCTCATACATGCACATGCAGAAAGGAAATTTTTTCCCATTAACCCTTTAAAGTTTATTCCTTTCCAGTACGTAAGACTATACAGTGTGGGCTACAACGATTTGGACAACCACTAGATGGCAGCAAGGGACTAGATGGCAGCAAGGGACTAGAGCTTTGCTGCCATCCGATGGTCATCTAGAGTTTTGCATTTCATATTTGGTAGTCCTACTGGTACCACCACCATTCTTTCCCAGCCTTGCCTCAGAGAAATAATCAAGTTACTAATTGCTACCCACTACTGTGCCATTTCCTTGTACCACATTCTCCTCTACCACATTTTCCCCACTGCATCATAGCATCATGATCATTAATTGTTTGGGTTTTCACAACACATTAGTTTAGGCTAAAATGGGATCGGGTAGTTTCAAGTCTATATGTTGTAGATGTCAGGCCCAGCCCAAGAATACAACGAGGTGGTCCAGTCCAGTATAGTTCCTTTATTGGCTTGCACCTAATAGACAGAATCTCGCCAGACTAAACCTATGCTAAAGCAACTAGTGGATACACCCCGTGAGATTCTAGGGAGGGGCCAGTCTCAGCTTCTTCCTATTCTCACAGTCCTGCTGCAGGCTGAGGAAGCACTTGCTCTGTAACCTCTCCAGGAATGTTCCCTCCTGATAACCTTGATCCTCCATTCCATTACAGTAGGAATCCAATTATTGAATTATCATGTTTTGTTACAACAAACTATATGGTAGTTTAACAGGATAGTAAACCGACTATCCTGTTAAACTACCATATAGTTTGTTTGAATGTAAACTGTTATGTGAACATACACATTGTTTAGCATGTCTTCTACTAACATTCTCCCAAATAAGTCTCTTATGTGCTCTGAAGGGTTGGTAATATTTCTACAATAAAAGTAAAACATCCTTCTGTTGAATGGGAAATTTTCTATGATCAAGTGCTTCACTTGTCTGTATTTGTTTTTGTTGTTGCCTCCATTCCCTTTAAGATTTGAGTTTGGTTTTTTTTTCAAATGGCAGGATATCAACTGCTATTTTCAACTAAATCTGAGAATTTCACCTTATAAAGACTAAAATTCTGTTTAACTTCGGAATATGTATTTGTAAAATCTGCCTAACAGTTGTTACTGAACATTAATGTTCATTTGTACGTTTTTAAAAACCAGATGCCATATATTTAATATATATTTAGATTTTTTTAAAAAATATTAGAATAGAGTAGAATAGAATAGATATGTTTCTCTCCCAGCATTTCTAATTAGACTCATTGGGGTGAGAATGAGACTTTAAGTGGGGGAAATGAGGTTGTGACTGTGTATACAACTGGGTGTGTAAATATATCCTGATTCTAGACAGATGTCCCCATCATAACTGGGTCAGCCCATCTGAGAACCCCTCTAAGATATCTACACCTGTGTATATCCCCCCCAAAAGTTACTCATCCATGTCCACTTTAAGGCCCCAAAGCCACATGTATTTCCCAGAAGCTTTTGGCGTAGCTACCAGAGATAACCCCAAAGTGTTAGCAATTACAGCACCACTCTTTAGATGACATGAGGTGAAATTTATTGGCTACCTGGAGAATAATTATCTATGTTTCAAATGGAGTGTAGTGGTTAATGTGTTGGGCAGAAAAATTAGGCACCCAATTCTTTTTAGGCACAACCTAAACAGATGCAGCTAAAGTCTCCCTCCTACACACCCACGTATCAGCAACTTTCACACTTCCCTATTTTCTTTATACGGCAGCTTCAAGTTATTCCAGGGCTTGATCAAGTCAGATTCTCGGCTGGTTTTATTTATCTCAGGAACATAACCAGACATGCAGTGCCCCTGAACGTACGCCGAATGCTCGCCGGCAGCCTGCCCCGCAAAGCTCGCGCCATTCCTCAGAGCTGTTTATTTATTTGGACCCACTCTCCGGAGCTATCCCCGGGCGCTTGCAGCCCCTTCGCCGCCACGCACCCACCCACCCGTCTCCTTACTCACCTGTCTAGCCCCC